CGTTCCTTGAGTCAATAGCGAGGTTACTACGTAATTCGAAATCCGTACGGGAGGCGTAAAAACGTTGGCACACTAGGGATTTTTGCACTCAGATCATCTGTTCTTGAGCATTCGCGCATCGCAACGACGTCGCGTTGAGAAGGTGCCGAACGCGAAAACGTCAGCACGTGATATTGCTGTGGAATCAGATGTGCCGAACTGTCAGCGCTGATGGTACTTCCTCCCTCCCTACGCCCAGCTTCCTCCCTCCCTACGCCCAGCTTCCTCCCTCCCTCCGCCCAGCTTCCCCCCTCCCTACGCCCAGCTTCCTCCCTCCCTCCGCCCAACTTCCTCCCTCCCACCGCCCAGCTTCCTCCCTCTCTCTGTAACAGTGTGGCAGCCGAATGCTGCCAAGTACAGTGAAGGTGGGCGGAAGTCAAGCGCCACCTCACCAACTGTTCGTATTGGTCAAACGCCTCAACCTGCAGCTGGGCGACCAGGTCCTGACACGCAGCCCAACACAGACCCTCGCGCGAAAATTACGAAACGCAGAACACCGAAGTTCCGACCGCTCGCCGACTTCGCCAACAATATCGACGAAATTACAGCCCCGTAACCAAGCTCGCCGTCCAATCCCGTACCGCAATAATTCTCTGAATTTCACGGCAGGTTCATTTTAAAGGGGTTGGGTTACCATTGAGAAATTCAGAAAGAGTCGCGACTTGGGAGTGCGACTCGATGTTTGAATGTGCTCTATAAAATTGTACTGTCAAATTTGTGAAGTCATAGTGCAATTTCCAGAGAACTCCAGAGAGCCCTCTATCCTCGTTTTCCTAGCCTACTAAGGCTGCTACTTCCCTGCCAGCAACGTTTCACTGGTAATCAGAGCCTGGTTAGTTATTTCGCACGCTCCCGCCATATTCTAGACCCTATGGCCGGACCGTCTGATATGACGCCGGAACTCTGGAACGAATTTGTTGCGAATATGTGCCGAGAAATTGAACGCGAGGTGCGTGACCGGATCCTCGGCGAACTCCAGGAACGTGGACTCCTGGGCACACAGGTGCCGACGCCAGCACCTGCTGTGGTTTCTGCACGACCCAAAGCACCCGAACCTGAGCCGTTCATCCCTGGAAAACGTCACTTACCGGTGCGACGGTGGCTTTTCCAAGTGGAGGAATACCTCTCCCTTGGTCATGTCAACCGGGCGGAGTGGGCTCGGCACGCCGGCATGATGCTGAGGGGTGCAACTGCTATTTGGTGGCAGAGTTGCCATGCTACGATTTCAACTTGGGAAGAGTTTTCTGCATCGCTATTAATGAACTTCAAGCCGGTCAACTCCATCGAGCGCGCACGTGACAACCTCGCTGAATTACGCCAACATCGCTCGGTCGCTGAGTACATCAACCGCTTCCGCGAGCTCGTGCTTGAGATCCCTGACATCCCTGCTGCTGAACAGATGGACAAATTCAAGCGTGGGCTGAAGCCGAAAATCCGCACCGAGGTCAAACTCCGCGGCGCTATGACGTTGGATGAGATGATTTGTGTCGCCAAGCGTTTTGACACCATCAACTTTGCAGCATACCAGCGATTCCAAGGACAAACCGGGCAGCACACCACTGCTGGACCTACCTACCGCACCAACGGTCGTTCTCCCATGGAGCTCGGTGTGGTGGAACAGCGTGCACGCAACCAGTCCACGCTTACGTGCTACTCGTGCGGGAAAGTCGGCCACATCAAGCGACATTGCCCGAACCGCCGCAACTTTGAAAGGTCTCCAGGAAACGGACAGCGCCAGTAGCAGTGGGGCAGATCTCTGGCGCATCGCATGCCCCGCTTCTCCCGACTCCATTATTCATCGACACCTCTGAACTCTACACCACATCCAACGCTCCATTCCCCGCCATCATTCTATACGCAAAAATAAAGAATCGCTACGTTGAGTTGTTGCTCGATACCGGCGCTTCAGCAAATTTCCTCTCTCCCTCAATTGCTGCTGAACTCTCTCTCCCCGAAGATCCCAACAGCAACCCGCAGGACGTGATCATGGCAGATGGTACTCGGCGGCGCTGCGGACCTACTCTCCTCCCAGTGCGTTGCATGTTTGGAAGCTTGGAGGCGACGGTCACATTCGAGCAACTGCACCTTGGCGGGTACGAAGGCGTTATTGGTCGACCATGGTTGCACCAGTTTGGACCGCGGATTTATTGGCGCAACGGAACTGTCACCGTCGGCAACTACGACCTCCCATCCCACTCCTTTCGCCGACCATGGTCATCCCCAACCAGTTCCGCTTCATCAACCCATCCACCCCAACCTGCCCCATCTCCATCTTCCCATATCCCCCCTCTCCCTCCTCCTCGCATAGCTCCCGTGCAGCAGCCAAAACCACCCGGCTCTCCCGAAGTGATCAACACACCTCCTCCTTCTCCACCCCACCCAACCCAGCAGCCACGACGTCCCATCATCCGCCCCGCCTCTGAAGTTATCAATCCATCAGCCCCCACCCCTCCATCACCACCTCCTCCTCATCATCTCCAAGTCATCTTCACCGCTCCCGAATCTGAACCATCACCCAACTCTCTCCCATCACCTACAGAAGTTACTCCAAGGCTACACCGACGTCTTCACCGAAGATCTTCCCGCCGAACTTCCACCCGAGCGTGCTATTGACCATAGCATCCGCCTCATTCCAGGTTCTACACCGCCCGTGCGCCCAACCTATCGCATGAGCACCGCTGAACTTTTGGAGCTCCGACGTCAACTCGATGACCTTCTCGAGAAGGGTTTCATCCACCCAAGCACCTCACCATACGCTGCCCCCGTGCTTTTCACCCGCAAGAAGGAAGGTGACCTGCACCTTTGCATCGACTACCGCGCCCTCAACGCCATCACAATCAAGAATAAGTACCCGCTGCCCCGTGTCGAGGAGTTGTTCGACATGCTTGGGGAAGCAACAGTTTTCAGCAAGCTTGACCTACGCTCCGGTTACCACCAGATCCGGCTCGCCGAAGACGACATCAACAAGACGGTGTTTCGAACCCGCTACGGCCACTTCGAGTTCCGCGTACTTCCGTTCGGCCTCACCAACGCACCAACCACGTTCATGGGACTCATGAACGACATTTTTCGGCCCTTCCTTGACCGCTTTGTCATCGTGTTACTCGATGACATCCTCATTTTCAGCAAGTCACTCGAGGAACACGCTCAGCACCTACGCATCATCCTCGACACGCTTCGCCAACACCGCCTCTACGCCAAGCTCTCCAAGTGCACCTTCGCCCGTTCAAGCATCGGCTTTCTCGGCCATGTCATCAGCTCCAAAGGCATTGCTATGGACCCCGCAAAGGTCCAGTGCCTTGCTGATTGGCCAGCCTCACGCACAGTAGCGGACCTGCAAAGTTTCATCGGCCTCGCCAAGTATTACCGGAAATTCATTTTCAACTTCTCTCACATCTGCGCCCCTTTGACCGATCTCTTCCGTCAAGGAGCTGCCTTTCAATGGGGACTACCGCAGCAGACCGCTTTCAACTCAATCAAATCAGCACTCACCTCTCCACCGGTCCTCACCGTCGCCGACCCTTCACGCCCATACTTCATATGGACCGATGCTTCCGATGTCGCTGTCGGTGCCATTCTTTGCCAAGACCACGGCCACGGGATGCAGCCACTCGCTTTCGAGTCACGCAAGCTTCAACCGGCAGAGCGCAACTACGCAACACACGATCGGGTGCTCCTTGCCATTGTCCACGCAATCAAGACATGGCGCTGTTACGTGGAGCTGCAGTCCGTCACCGTCTACACCGACCACCGCCCTCTTCAACACTTGAAAACAAAGCCCGTGCTCAGCCGCCGCCAAGCCCGATGCGCTGAGTTTTTGGAGCAGTTCGTACCCTCACTTCAGATTATCTACCGCCCCGGAAAACTCAACCCAGCCGACTTCTTGTCCCGACCACCACCACCAGCCCCACCACCCACCGACCAGCCCAAACCAACCACCAACCAGCCCCACCACTCCCCAACCAGCCCCACCTCATCACCTCCACCTCACACTCCGAACCCACCCTTGCAACTCCATGGAATCAGCAGCATCACTTGGGATGATACCTTCATCACGAAATTTCAGCGCGCCTACAAACGTGACCTGTTTTTTGTCAAGCAAGCACCCGAGGACCCGGCCTACTCATTTGAAGACCCATTTTGGTACAACACCGTCACCAAGACCATTTGTGTCCCTGCAGATCGCTCCTTACGACAGCTGCTACTCTCCGAATACCACGACACCGTTACCGGCAGCTACTTTGGTGTTGAGAAGACCTACGCACGCCTCTCCAACGACTACCATTGGCCACGCATGCATGCTGATGTGCGTGACTTCATACGCACCTGCCGCACCTGCCAACAACTCAAAGCACGCACCACCAACCACTCCGGACTCCTTCAGCCCATCCCTCCACCTACCAAAGTGTGGGATGAAGTCACCATGGACTTCATCATGGATCTGTCCCGCACACCCCGCAGCTACAACGCTATCCTAGTCGTCGTCGACCGACTCTCCAAAATGAGCCACTTCATTCCTACCCACACAACCGTTACCACACCCGAAACAGCCCGACTCTTCTTCGATCACATAGTCCGCCTACATGGTCTCCCATCCGCCATCATTTCAGACCGTGACCCCCGCTTCTTGAGTAACTTTTGGCAGAGCCTCTTCAAGCTTCACAGAACCCGGCTGAAGTTTTCTACCGCGTATCACCCTGAAACGGACGGACAAACCGAACGGATGAACCGCACGCTTGAAGACTCCCTCCGTGCACAAGTTACTGCTCGCCAAACTGATTGGGATCTCCACCTCACCGCCATCGAACTCGCATACAACAGCACACCCCACCTTTCCACCGGCCAGCCACCCTTCTACCTCGCAACCGGACAGCACCCCCGCCTCCCCACGACCCCACCCCCCCACCTCTCCCACGCACCAGCAGCCTTTGAGTTCCTCACCTCACTCGAATCAGCCATTGATGCCGCTCGCACCTCCATCCTTAAAGCTCAAGCCAAACAGTCCCACTATGCCAACTCCCACCGCAAAGATATACGCTTCAAGGTTGGCGATCAAGTGTTACTCTCCACTGACCACCTACCTCTCGTACGCAAAGGGACAACCAGAAAACTCGCCCCTCGCTTTATTGGCCCGTTCACCATCACCCGAGTCCTCTCACCAGTCACCTACCGTCTCCAACTGCCCAGCTATATGAAGATTCACCCCGTCTTCCATGTCCAGCGCCTCCGCCCTTTCCGTGCACCTTCACACGACCGTCCAGCCACACGCCAACTGCCACCGATGTTCGAAGGCAGCCCCGGCCTGTTTGAGGTTGCATCTATCACCGCTCACCGCGACACACCTCATGGTCGGGAGATTCTTGTTCATTGGAAAGACCAGCCCACTAGTGACGACTCATGGGAACCAGAGAGCCACCTTGACCGTGCCGCAACTGCTGTGAATCGGTATTTGACCAGCCACTGTTTGGCGCCGTGGACGGCGCCACTTGGAGGGGGAAGTAATGTAACAGTGTGGCAGCCGAATGCTGCCAAGTACAGTGCAGGTGGGCGGAAGTCAAGCGCCACCTCACCAACTGTTCGTATTGGTCAAACGCCTCAACCTGCAGCTGGGCGACCAGGTCCTGACACGCAGCCCAACACAGACCCTCGCGCGAAAATTACGAAACGCAGAACACCGAAGTTCCGACCGCTCGCCGACTTCGCCAACAACAACGACGAAATTACAGCCCCGTGACCAAGCTCGCCGTCCAATCCCGTACCGCAATAATTCTCTGAATTTCACGGCAGGTTCATTTCAAAGGGGTTGGGTTACCATTGAGAAATTCAGAGAGAGTCGCGACTTGGGAGTGCGACTCGATATTTGAATGTGCTCTATAAAATTGTACTGTGAAATTTGTGAAGTCATAGTGCAATTTCCAGAGAACTCCAGAGAGCACTCTATCCTCGTTTTCCTGGCCTACTAAGGCTGCTACTTCCCTGCCAGCAACGTTTCACCCTCCGCCCAGCATCCTCCCTCCCTACGCCCAGCTTCCTCCCTTCCTCCGCCCAGCTTCCTCCCTCCCTACGCCCAGCTTCCTCCCTCCCTACGCCCAGCTTCCTCCCTCCCTCCGCCCAGCTTCCTCCCTCCCTCCGCCCAGCTTCCTCCCTCCCTCCGCCCAGCTTCCTCCCTCCCTCCGCACAGCTTCCCCCCTCCCTACGCCTAGCTTCCTGCCTCCCTCCGCCCAGCTTCCTCCCTCCCTACGCCCAGCTTCCTCCCTCCCTCCGCCCAGCTTCCTCCCTCCTTCCGCCCAGCTTCCTCCCTCCCTCTGCCCAGCTTCCTCCCTCCCTCCGCCCAGCTTCCTCCCTCCCTCCGCCCACTAGCCCACCCTCCTTCTGCAATGCTTCCCCCATCCCTCTGCCCTGCTTCCCTCCGCCCTCCGTCCTGCTTACCCCCACCCTCTTAGAGGTGAGACTCACGCACTAGGTGAGCATTCGACCACCCCATATGCCCCTCCTCTCCCTCTATCTCACCATCTTTCCTGTACCTCCCCATGTGCCTCTCCCCTCCCTCCCCATGTGCCTCTCCAATCCCTCAATACAGGCCGCTCCAATCCCTCCCCATGTGCCTCTCCATTTTCTCCCCATGTGGCTGCGCAGCGAGGAGGGGGGATGCACGCGCAACAGTGGGGCAGCACAACAGATTCGTGTGCAAGCTCAGTGACCATTCTCCTCCCCTTTCCTGCCTCCACCCAACTACTTGCAGACCTTTTTGGATTGCATTCACATCGAGAAGGAGGAGGGGGTACGCAGGTGCATCTAGGGGGCAGGGCAGCAAACTTAGGAACAAGCTCACGTTCGAAAAGTGCAAACAGCATCGATGAGTCGAGAACGTCTGGGCTGAATGTTGAGATGTGTCCTGTCGTATCTCCACCTTCCTGCCCCACCCTGTCAGGATCTGAGTGCCCTGGCCAGCAGCACCACAGTGTTGGTGTTGTGGGAGGTGTACCCTGACGCCCTGCCGCTCTTTCCTGACTGCCCCACACCATTCCTTCGCTCGCCATGACTGGCGAGCCGCTTTGGATGTTACTGGTTGCCAATGGGTTTGGCATCATTATAAATTGTAACTGCCTACATTGTCCGTTGCAACTACAACTATAATATGTGCCAGTTTATTACTCTAATACAGTATCATGATTAGGTTTAAGACAGAACGGCAAAGTCCAGAAAACACACTCGTCCATGGCATGTTCAAGAGCAATGTCACCAAGTGGGGATGGATACACAACCCACTCACTCATCTTGACCTGCCACCCACACATCCACTTCCTCCCCGTCATAGCGGCCTGCTACCCACCACTCATCACTATCGTTGCTCCACTCCTCCGCATCTCTTATCACTGCATTTGCAACATCATCCTCGTGATCCGATGGGGTTTCAGCCTCATCCCTCTCACAGTGGTAAACCTGCAGCTATAGCCAATGAGAAGGAGGACAGGCCAGAGTGTAGGGTGGTGTGCCTGTCGCGATCCATAATCTCATCCGCAGAGCAAGGCAGGTCAAGGCAGGGGTAGGGCATGCCTGGAGGGGGGAAGGGAGAAGGGCGGAGCGGGGCATGACAGGGGAGAACCATGGCAGGGCAGGGCAGGGCATGCCATGGCATGGCATGGCATGGCATGGCATGGCATGTCGCGGAAGGAGCAGACCAGGGCGGGGCAGGCCATGACAAAGCAGGGCATGCATGGCCCTTCTAGTCATGGCATGGCATGCATAGAGGGTGCAGACAATGGCGGGGCGGGGCAGGACAGGGCAGGACATGGCATTGCAGGGGAGGACAGGGCAGGACAGGGCAGGGCAGGACAGGGCAGGGAACAGAAGTTCAGGGCAGGGCAGGACAGGGCAGGGCAGAGCAGGGCAGGACAGGGCAGGGCAGGGCTGGGCAACTCCTGGTGTGGCATGGCCTGTTTAGAGGGCATAGGGAAAGGCGGTGCGGGGCAGGACAGGGAGGGGCATGGCATGGCATGCTTAGTGGTAGCAAACAAGGGCAGGACAGGGCAGGGCAGGGCCGGGCAGGGCCGGGCAGGGCAGGGCAGGGAAGAGCATGACAGGGCATGACAGGGCAGGGCAGGGCATCTCCTGGTATAGCATGGCATGTTTAGATGGAGCAGGGAAAGGCGGTGCGTGACAGGACAGGGAAGGGCATGGCATGCTTAGTGGTAGCAAACAAGGGCAGGACAGGGCAGGGTCCAAGCATGGCATGGCATGGAGTGGCATGCCTAGGGGGAGGTGACAAGATCGAGGCGAGAAAAAATACAAAACCGACTTGGATATAATGGGAGAGCCGAGCAGGCCAACTTAGAGCATGGTGGGCGTGAGGTGTTTGCCAAATACCTTTGGGGGTGTCGAAAGTTGTGGGCGGCATCGTGGTGCTTTTCCGTGATGACGGGCAAGCCTCGTGCGGGTTTGACAACTCACTTGAGGTGGCCTTTAGACGCCTAGCGTGGGAGGTTCGACACATCACATATAAGCAACATAAAGATGGAGTGAAAAACGCGGATTGTGAACACATTACGCTGGCTAGAATGTTGACGTCGAATATGTGCCAAGATAAGCGATAACAACACTCAAGATACGCTGTCGTTGCTTACCCAAACGACGGCGTGCAGATCCACGAGACGTGCCGCACACCGGACCGAACCCTCCTTGGCGCACTGGTGTCACGGGCTCAAGAACAAATGCTGTGGGCCGTGCGATCGATGCATCGACCAGCTGCGCAGCTGTTGCCGTCGTTTCAGGCATCTCGACAACGTCTACACTATCTCCATGCCGTAGTGTTCGTTGCCATTCCTCCATGATGCGATCAACCCAAGCCCAATCCATTTTGGTCAAGATGCGCTCCTTGGATCCGCGCCTGATCCTCGTCACCTGTCGGACTCTAGTGCGATAGGCGGTCACCAGACGATCCATGCCGTGATTCCAATGAAGAACCGCGAGACCAACTCGCGCTGGGAAGCTGCCCTGAAACCTAATCCGCTTTGGTGCGTATTTGATTATCAAAGAATGGAAAGACTCGTTGAGAGAACTCGATGCGCCATGCACAAAGGACTTCACCTTCTCGGGGCTTAAGTGCTTGGAGAACCATGCACGAACCGCCTTATGTGTTGATGACCCAAACTCATATATGGCATGGTCCTTGCCCCACCCCTCTCTGACGCAGCGAGGTGGGGTCTCTCCTACCCCAGAGCAGCCGGAGTGGTCACATGCCCAGTGGTTGGGTGGGCTCCCAAGCTCCCTCGCCACGTCGGCCAGACTCATAGGATGTCCCTCTTTCTTCTTTGCACCACATCGCACCATCACATGATAGAAATGAGAGGATAAGCGTTGTGCCACAGTTTGTTCCTCCTTGCCAGAGTCGATCTGATCTTTGCCTCTTTTCCGCTTACGACGACCAGTCCAGTGAGGTAGTGTCTCGGGCTCGCTGAACGCATTAGGGTTGTGCACCTCGGTATCAGCCCTGCCTCCATCAGGCACATCTGTGGATGTAAGAAAATGAAAGATGAGAATTTAGTATAGAATTGCACTTGGATCATTAAGCCCAAAACTTGGGAAGGGGATGTATGCATACCGGTCTCCGTGTCGGTGTTGGCCCAAGGTGTGGATCCACCAATGAAATGGGAGTTTCTGTTTGCGCCCGCGTGCGCAAGCATGATGAGGGTGCTCGCCAAAGATGTCGGCCGTGCACCATGCGTCGGGTGCACATCATAACTCCATAGCTCCTCCACGTCCTCCCACTGAACGTCAACGTTCCCCTCCTCAGGTGTCGGCACGTCCACGGCAGCCCGCTCAGCTTGCTCATCCCGCTCTCGCACATCAGCATCAGAAGCACCAGGCACCTTACCGTAGTTCACAGGCACCTCCACCGTACTACACCCCCCTCCCCCATCCGCACCACCTGTCTTAGCTCGGGAAACTTCCATTTCGCCTCTTCTGGGGTCATCTTCTTGTAAACAATCGGGCCCATGGCTTCACAAACTGCTTCCACCAAAGCCTCTTTCAGAGAAGCCTTCGACTCTTTCACCAACCCCCGCGCTGTCAACCATTGCCATAGCCCTTCGACAGTCGCAAGCCATAGATCCTCAATACAGCTTGCCTTGTCCACAGCCACCGGTGCACTGACCGAATCCTGAAGTTCTTTCAGAAACAACTTGTAAAGAGTCCGCTTCACATGCCACCAGTCCACCTGGTGGTTCAATCCCCTTTCGGACGCTGCTCCGCGAAAAGTAGTCCCTTGGTCAGAGATTATCCTGTCAGAACATATAGCTTACTTGTTTCTGTAGGCTATAGTGGGGTATCCCATAGGGGGTACAACCCAATTAGGGTTTCCTATTTGTACTCACTTCGTTCTTAGTCATTCCTATTCTCGTTCATATTTTCTCATGGAATCAGAGCAGGTCCCTTCCTAGGGACTGTTCCTAGGGCCCACCGAAGCGCGCCCCGAGGCGCGCGTTTTTTTTTAGAGACCCTCCGTGTCGCCCTTACCGCCGTGCTCCCGCTTAGGCCCCTCGTCGGCCCCGCTTAGGCCCCTCGTCGGCCCCGCTTAGGCCCCTCGTCGACCCCGCTTAGGCCCCTCGTCGCCCCCCCCTTAGGCCCTTAGTCGGCCCCACTTAGGCCTCGTCGGCCCCGCGTAGGCCCCGTCGGCCCCGCTAAGGCCCCGCTACGGCCCCTCGTCGGCCCCACTTAGGCCCTGTCGGCCCCGCTTAGGCCTCGTCGGCCCCGCTTAGGCCCCGCTACGGCCCCGCGTCGGCCCCGCTTAGGCCCCGTCGGCCCACCTAGGCCCCGCTACGGCCCCTCGTCGGCCCCGCCTAGACCCCGTCGGCCCGCCGTAGGCCCCGCTCCAGCCCGCCGTCGGCCCCGCTATAGCCCGCCGTCGGCCCCGCTACAGCCCGCCGTCGGCCCCGCTACAGCCCGCCGCCGGCCCCGCTACAGCCCGCTGTCGGCCCAGCTCCAGCCCGTCGCCAGCCCCGCTACAGCCCGCCGTCGGCCCCCCCTACAGCCCGCCGCCGGCCCCGCTACAGCCCGCTGTCGGCCCCGCTCCAGCCCGCCGCCGGCCCCGCTACAGCCCGCCGTCGGCCCCACTACAGCCCGCCGCCTGCCCCGCTACAGCCCGCCGTCGGCCCGCCGTCGGTCCCGCTACAGCCCGCCGTCGGCCCCGCTACAGCCCCGCTACAGCCCGCCGCCAGCCCCGCTACAACCCCGCTACGGCCCGCCGTCGGCCCCGCCGCCCGTGCTGCAGCCCGCCGCGCCACCGTGCAGCCGCCCACCGTGACGCCCGTGAGCAGCCCCAGCCGCCCGTGAGCCGCCCGTGCAGCCGCCCGCGCCGCCCGTGAGCCCCTGCGTCACCCGAGCCGCGCGAGCCGCCCGAGCCGCCCGAGCCGCCCGAGCCGCCAGAGGAGCCGCACTCCTGCTCCTGTGGGGCCACTGCTGCTCCTGGGCTGTGTTACTGTGCCGCTGACCTACCCAAATTTTCCTGCCCGGTGAGACTGTCAGCTTCTGTCATGGCCACCCCCACTGTCCTAGCTTTTGACGCTGAGGGTAGAGCCATTGACTTTGCAGTCTGGATTGAAGACCTGCAGCTGTACTTACTGTGTGATGCGATAGATGAGGTCTCTCTCTTTGACTTTGTCTCTGGCGCTGTCCCTGCCCCTCCTGCTGATGCTGACCCCGCTGTTCGCTCCAAGTGGGCGACCCGCGATGCTGCTGCACGTCTTGCTGTGCGTCGCCACCTCCCTTCCTCCGAGCGTGCCCACTTTAGTGAGTGCAAGACCGCTCAGGCCTTGTACGACGCTGTAGTTGCACGCTACTCCTCCCCTTCCTCCGCTACGCTTAGCCGCCTCATGCTACCGTTTCTCTTCCCTGACCTCGCTGCCTTTCCCACTGTCGCTGACCTCGTTACCCACCTCCGCGCTAGTGACGCTCGCTACCGCGCTGCCCTTCCTGCTGAGTTCCGTGCCGCAAACCCTCCTCCCATGTACATCACTCTCTACTTTCTCGTCACTCGTCTCCCTGAGTCCCTTCGTGTAGTTAGGGACCAGTTTCTCTCTGTCTGTCCCACCACCCTCACTGTCGACCTCCTTGAGGAGTCCCTGCTAGCGGCTGAGAAGAGCATCGTCGCTGTAGGGGCCTCTCGGGGTGACCCTCGCACCCCCATTTTTGAGGGGTGTTCTCCTTCCCCCCTGCTGCCCTCTGTCGCCTCTGCCGCTGCGGCCGACCTAGCTGGTTTTGAGTCGGTCGGTGCGGCGTCTGCCCCCAGTGGTAGACGCCGCACTGGCAAGGGCAAGGGGGGCAAGGGAGCGGGTGGAGCTAGAGGGGGCGGTGGCGGGGGAGGTTGGGGTGGCGGTGGAGGTGGTGGCGGGAGTGGAGGTACTGGTGGAGGCGGTGGAGGCGGAGGTGGCGGCGGAGGAGGTAGTGGAGGAGGCGGGGGTGAGGGTGCCGGTGGGGGCGGTGGCGGTGGAGACGGGGGTGGCGGTGGAGGCGGGGGTGGCGGTGGCGGCGGGGGTCGGAGTGGCTCGTCTCAGCGGAGCAGCTCTGGGGGTGGTCAGCGCCAGCAGCAGCAGCAGCAGCAGCAGCAGCAGCAGCAGCAGCCACAGCAGCAGCAGCGCTCTCGCACCGTCCCCGCCCCTCAGCAGCTCCGTGAGTGGTACTTGCAGCGTCAGCGTGGTGGTGCGTTTGGTCCCTGCCCCTACGTTCTTCGCACCGGCGACCGTGCGGGGGAGAGGTGTGGAGGCACCCACACAGCCCGCCGCTGCTTTGGCCGCCTGACCGACGCCTGGCGTCAGCAGTTTCCGGAGGCCGCTGAGATCCCCCGCTGGGGGGAGCTGTCTAGGGCTGGTGTAGCTATTTATGATCTTGACTTTGATGCTATTCTTTCTGCTATGTATGCTGTGACTGGTAGTGATGAGGATGACTGTTACCGGTGTTTCCCGCCCGACCCGGGCATTGGTACTGCTGCGTCAGGTACTCGTGAGGCTGCTGCTCTAGGTGCCAGTGCGTCTGTGCTCTCAGGTACTGGTGAGTCTGCACTCTCAGGTACTGTGTCGGCTTCGGCCTCTCACACCTTCACCCTTGACTCTGGAGCGTCTCGCTCCTTCTTTCGGGACCGCACCACTCTCACGCCGCTGAGTCGGCCGGTTGCGGTGTCCCTGGCTGACCCCTCTGGGGGGCCTGTCCTGTCTCGCTTCTCCACGGTCCTTCCGTGTCCGGCGGCCCCCTCTGGCGCCCTGTCTGGTCTCTACCTCCCCTCGTTCTCGACGAACCTGGTGAGTGGTGCTGACCTCCAGGATGCGGGTGTCCACCAGTTCACTCCTGCTCGTCAGCGGGTGACACACTGCACGGAGGCTAGCACAGGTCGCCACCTGGCTACGTTTACACGTCGGCCGAGGTCGAGCCTGTACACACTGACCACTGCTTCTCCTCCAGGTACTGAGTCTGGTAGGGTCCCTTCGTCTGGTCAGGTGTTTGCTGCAGCGTCCAGGTCGGGCCCTGAGTCTGCCCCCTGTTCGTGTCGTCGTCTGTCTCACGAGACCCTCCTCTGGCACCACCGCCCTGGCCACCCCTCTCTGCTTTGGCTCAAAGGTATGGCCTCCCGTCTTCTTGTGTCTGGTCTTCCCCGGTCCCTCCCTCCCCTTCCTCAGGGCCCTGGCCCTGCCTGTGTCCCCTGTGTTGAGGGGCGCCAGCGTGCTGCCCCTCACTCCTCCCAGTTTCCTCCGACAGAGGCCCCGTTGCAGACGCTTCACATGGACGTGTGGGGCCCAGCCCGCGTCCGTGGACAGGGTCAGGAGCGCTACTTCCTGCTCGTTGTTGACGACTACTCGCGCTACACCACAGTCTTCCCCTTGCGCAGCAAGGGTGAGGTCACTGAGGTGCTGATCGACTGGATCCGCGCAGCTCGTCTTCAGCTCAGGCAGAGCTTTGGCTCCGACTTTCCTGTGTTGCGTCTGCACTCGGACAGAGGCGGAGAGTTCTCCTCTGGCCTTCTGCGTGCCTACTGTCGTGCGCGAGGCATCCGCCAGTCCTTCACGCTTCCGGACTCACCGCAGCAAAATGGGATTGCAGAGCGCCGCATTGGCATGGTCATGGACGTCGCTCGTACGTCTATGATGTATGCGGCTGCCCCCAATTTTCTGTGGTCGTTTGCGGTCAAGTACGCGGTGCATCAGATCAACCTCCACCCCAGGGTCTCCAGGCCGGAGACCTCCCCAGCCCTGCTGTGGACGGGGAAGGTTGGCGATGCGTCGGCGTTCCGGGTCTGGGGATCTCGGGCGTTTGTCCGCGACCTGTCTGCGGACAAGCTGTCCCCTCGCGCTTCTCCCTGCGTCTTCCTGGGGTTCCCCCCCGACGCCCCTGGGTGGCAGTTCTACCACCCCACCTCTCGACGTGTTCTGTCCTCCCAGGACGTCACGTTCGACGAGTCGGTACCCTACTACCGCCTCTTCCCCTACCGCACTCCGTCCCTCCCCCCACCCCCGCTCTTCTTGGTACCAGGTCCCCCCCCGGTAGACCCCCTCCCCCCTCAGGGTCCTGCCCCTTCAGGTGTGTCCCAGGTAGACGCGGTCGAGCCTGTCGAGGTCACTGGTGACTCTGGTGCTGCTGCGGGTGCTGAGCCTGGGGGTGCTGAGCCTGGGGGTGCTGAGCCTGGGGGTGCTGAGCCTGGGGGTGCGGAGTCTGGGGGTGCGGAGTCTGGGGGTGCGGAGTCTGGGGGTGCTGAGCCTGGGGGTGCTGAGCCTGGGGGTGCTGAGCCTGGGGTTGCTGAGCCTGGGGGTGCTGAGCCTGGGGGTGCTGAGCTTGGGGGTGCTGTGCCAAGGGGTGCTGTGCCTGGAGGTGCTTCGTCTCGCCGTGAGCCACTCTCCCCACAGGAGCTGCGTGAGTGGTTTGCCAGGCACTGGAGGCGTGCTGCTGGTGCTGGAGGTTCTTCGACTGCAGAGGGTGCTACTGCCGCGGGTCCCGGAGGTGCTCGTCTTGGGGGTACTGGAGCTGCTGGGTCTGAGGGTTCTCCTGGAGCTGGTGCTGCTGAGGGTGTTGGCGCTGAGACTGCCGCTGGCGGTCCGCCTGGCAGTGCTCCTGGTGGTGCTGATGGAGGTTCTGGAGCTACTGGAGGTGCTGCTGGAGGTGCTGCTGGAGCGGGTACTCCTGCTGGGGGTACTGGTGCTGTCCCTGCTGTTTCTGGCGTCGCCGCGCGGCCCCGACCGTACTTCGTTCCGCTCCTGCAGCAGGTTCTTGGTCTTACACCTTCTCCTGGTCCTCCTCCTCCTCCCTTAGAGTGTCCACGGCCTGTCCAGTCACAGCCACAGCTACAGCCTGCCTCCCCTTTGCCTGCTCCTTCTCCCTACGCTGGTTCGACTGGAGGTCTTACTGAGCGTCGTGAGCCTGCGTCTCGTCCTGCGTCGCCTGTTCGTACTGCGCGCGCTAGTGGTCGCGGGTCGCGTCAGCGTCCTCCTCCGGTCCCTGGCACGCACCGGATGTCACTGCGTCCGTCCACTGCTCCTCTGCGTGCCCCTTTGCCTTCTCCTCCCGCTTCCTCTCTTCCTGCTCTTGCCGACCCGGAGTCGGACTCTCTTCGTGCTGCCAATCCTACTGTCACGCGTCTCCTTGCTACTGCTGTCACTGACCCTTCCTTCGAGTCGTCTGCTGCGTCTGCCCTTGTCACTGAGCTTGTCGACTTTGCTGCGCGCTGTCGTCTAGACTACGCTGCCAGTCTTGTCGCTGAGTCTGAGTCTGTCTGTCCTCCGTCCGTCGGGGGTGAGTGTGCCCTTGGCACGGACGTCCTTGAGGACAGGCAGGAGGAGTTCCAGTGTCTGGCCGCCGCTTCACCTCATCTCGCGTCTGTACTGCTAGCCCCTGAGGGAGACCCGGATGCACCAGACATCCCGACTCCGCGCTCTTACGCGGAGGCGATAGAGGGTCCCTACTCCTCTCAGTGGCAGGCAGCTATGGATGCAGAGATGGCTTCCTGGAAGTCCACAGGCACCTACGTCGACGCTGTTCCCCCTCCTGGGGCGAACATCGTCAGTGGCATGTGGATTTTTAGGGTGAAGCGGCCGCCGGGTTCTCCGCCTGTCTTCAAGGCGCGTTACGTGGCTCGTGGCTTCAGTCAGCGGCAGGGGGTTGACTACTTTCAGACCTTCTCCCCCACCCCGAAGATGACCACTCTTCGGGTTCTGCTGCACGTTGCTGCTCACCGTGACTACGAGCTCCACTCTCTCGACTTCAGCACCGCTTTCTTGCTGGGCAGCCTGCACGAGGAGATATGGCTCAGCGCCCACCTGGCTTCACTGGGTCTTTCCCTCCTGGTACCCAGTGGAGTCTCCGGCGTCCAGTCTACGGTCTCCGCCAGGCGCCACGTGAGTGGCACGACACACTGACGACTACGCTCGCGGCACTTGGGTTTGCTCCTTCTACTGCCGACCCGTTGCTGTTTCTGCGCACCGACACCTCACTGCCGCCGTTCTACATCCTCGTGTACGTCGACGACTTGGTCTTTGCCACAGCTGACACTGCTGGACTCGCCTACGTGAAGTCCGAGCTGCAGAAGAGACACACGTGCACTGACCTGGGTGAACTGCGTAGCTACCTTGGCTTGCAGATCACCAGGGACAGAGCACGCCGCACCATTACCCTGACTCAGTCACACATGGTGCAGCAGGTCCTTCAGCGCTTCGGCTTCACGTACTCCTCGCCTCAGGCCACTCCTCTGCCTACTCGCCACTCGCTCTCAGCTCTGCCTTCGGATGAGTCCGTAGAGTCGAGTGGCCCGTTTGCAGAGCTTGTTGGCTGCCTCATGTACCTGATGACCTGCACACGACCTGACCTTGCATACCCTCTTAGCATTCTCGCACGCTATGTTGCTCCTGGGAGACACCGACCAGAGCACATGGCTGCAGCGAAGAGGGTGTTGCGCTACTTGTGCAGTACGTCGGGCATGGGGCTAGTGCTTGGAGGGCGCAGTCCAGTGGTCCTCACTGGGCACGCGGACGCTTCTTGGGCTGACGACTAGGCTACGCAGCGGTCGTCACAGGGTTACACCTTCAGCCTTGGTTCCGGCTCTGTTTCGTGGCGGGCTACCCGCTCGTCTTCTGTTCTCGGCTCCAGTTGTGAGGCTGAGATCTACGCTGGGGCTATGGCTGCACAGGAGTTACGCTGGCTCACCTACCTGCTGACCGACCTTGGAGAGCAGCCTCGTTCTCCTCCAGTCCTGTACGTAGACAACAAGGCCATGCTGGCCTTGTGTCGAGAGCAGCGACTGGAGCACAGAACGAAGCACATTGCTCTCCGCTACTTTCTTGCTCGTGAGCTACAGCAGCGTGGACAGTTGCGACTTGCGTACGTGGCCTCTGAGGCCAACACTGCTGATGTCTTCACCAAGGCACTTGCGCCTTGTGATCATCAGCGTTGTTGCACGCAGTTGGGTCTTGTGCCTGTCTTGCCTCACTTGCTCTCCTCTTGACCTTGCTTGTACCTTCGCCTATATATACTCTTGCTCTTGCTTGACTCTTGTATATCTCTATATATGATCTTGCATGTGAACTGGCCTTCTGGCCTTTGAACTTGTGCTCGGAATGCGTGGTGACTTTGTGATCCACCCTGAGCTTTGCTTTGCTTTGCTTGACTGGTCTTGTGACCCCTTGTTCTCCCCCACTTTGCCTATGGGGGTGTGTCAGAACATATAGCTTACTTGTTTCTGTAGGCTATAGTGGGGTATCCCATAGGGGGTACAACCCAATTAGGGTTTCCTATTTGTACTCACTTCGTTCTTAGTCATTCCTATTCTCGTTCATATTTTCTCATATCCCTTCCACCGTAAATCCTTTCTGCGCCAGTTCATCTAACCCTCTATCGAAAGCCACCCTTTCCAGCCGCACCGCAGAAGTGTCATCCACCCCTTTTCGTGTCGTGGCACAGTACATTATCTTCCTAGATGGTAAATCTAAGAACGATACTGTACACCACTCTCCCTCACGCACATGTGACCATCGACCATCGACCACTACATATTCTGTAGGGATTTGTCGCTTCATCATCTTTTCTCGAACCGCAGCCATAGACTTATCAGCCTCTCTCAGTATAGCATTCCATAACCCATTATCGTCACCAAGGTACTTGTAAAATTTGCCCTTCCCCAGTGCTGGCAAGCTGAAGTTGCGACAAAACTCCCACATTTACTGATACCCCATCCCGGCTAAAGCAAATGCACCGACAAATTTTGACTGTAGAATCGGAGAATGTGCGCCTACACCGGTTCGGGCTTTTTCTATACGCCGACTCGGACATGACCAGAACTCTACTCCATGTGAGCATGCGTCACATCTCCAAAACATGGCGACCGAGGCCCATGAGAACTTCCATGATCGTAATGTCATCCCCTCACTGCACGCGCTCTCATGTGAACACACCAATCGACACCCTTGATAGAACCCAACCAGCTGTCCTGGCTCAACAAGACATACCCGCTGCTTGTCGATGTCATCCACGCTCGGAGTAGAAGGCCAGTGCCTAGGGACACTCCCACGCCCAACTGCCCGTCTGTGGCTATTGGCAGGCCTAGACATCACCGGAAGGGGATTTGGGACATGGATACAATGACATATAAGATAGTGCACAACGAAATGGATATGAAGGGAAGTATGAATAGCCACCTCACGCATTGATCTCACCCCTACACTGGCCGTTCTGGAGTCGTCGTCGAGCACGGTGTGGGCACAGCCACCGCAGTATCTCCATGAACTCTGGCTACGCCCTCATCAGCATCCATGCCTGCTCCCTCCACAATCCCCACGTCTAGCGTCGGTGGCAGTTCGGTCCCCATGACGTTGCCACCCCCAAGATGGTTGGCCACTGTATCATATTGGGCAAGATGAATGATAGGCGTTTATTACTCAAGTACGATACAATCACACATCATATTCCTCTTCCACAACTTACCCAAATTGCGTGTCCCCGCAAATGCCGTGCCACGTCTAGCGCCTCCCCACGATCGACCGGAAACATGTCGCAGTTTTCCGCGCGCATCATACTGCACCAGCGGGAAAGAATACCTCAGCCCAGCCAGAACTCGATTGGGCCGCTTCTGCAGGTCTGCGACATGCTCGAAACTTCCTTTTGCGTGTTCCTTGAAGATGCGACCGTACTCCTTTCGGTGCCTCTCCACAATCACGCCGGTATGTGTGTCGTTTGCAGCAGGAATCTGTAAAGCAGAGAATGCACAGGCATGTGATACATTTCAATGGTGTAACATCTCCAACGGGAAGACAACGTTATGCACACTTTAAACGCCCGCCCAATCCTTTAGATTTACTTGCTGCAAGGCCCGCCTCAATAAGTCGGTTGGTCGCTTCAGGTGCTGACTCTGCAAAAAAATGAATCACATCATCCGTCGTCGCCATCGTGTCCCCAAAGTACAAAGCCGAAAGCCCCACGCGGAGAGTGTACACAAATGGCCGCATGTGGACCGAAATTTTGACTGTCCCTCTCTGGGCATCCTTACATGCCTGTATTGCAGGATGCACGGCCGTCCTTACACACACTGGTGCCATCTGGAAGCATGTCAGCACATACCCCAAGGAGAGAGGGAGAGGTGGGTGGTCAGGGGTAGGGGGTCAGTGGCAGCAACGGTTGCTGCTGCCCTGGGACAGCACAGGTGCGTGCATTGTGGTGACAACAGGCCCAAGGCAGCAGCAACATTGGTTGGACATGTGCCTTGGGACAGCACAGGTGCATGCATTGTGGTGACAACAGGCCCAAGGCAGCAGCAACATTGGTTGCTGTTGCCACAATGCTAGCACAGTTGCTAGCATTGTGGTGACAACAGGCCCAAGGCAGCAGCAACATTGGTTGCTGCTGCCTTGGGACAACACAGGTGGTGCATTGTGGTGACAGCAGGCCCAAGGCAGCAGCAACATTGGTTGCTGAGAAGGTCGCAGCTGCTGCTGTCGACCTCCTTGGTGCTGAGAAGGTCGCAGCTGCTTCCGCTCCTAGTGGGAAGCGCAGCGGCTCCAGGGGAGGCAAGGGTGGCAGAGGTGGCAGACGTGGTAGTGGAGGGGGCGGTGGTGGAGGCGGCGGGGGAGGTGGAGGTGGTGGGGGTGGTCGTGGGGGTGGAGGTGGTGGTGGGGGCGGTGGTGGTGCCGGGAGCAGTGGCGGTGGCGGCGGCGGTGGTGGCGGAGGGGAGAGTGGTGATGGCGGCAGTGGTGGGGGCTTGGGTGTCACAGGATCGAATTCTCAATCAAAACTTGTCACTAAAACTGAATACAAGGCGTTTTTATACTCGGAAAATACAAGGATAAACGAGATAAAACGAACCTTCGGGAACACGCCCTTCCCGATACTACAATCACAAGTGCGCACAAGCACGCAAGGCTTTTGGCACTTGGGATTACGCCCAGATTACACTGTATACACCACTGTCGGCGCTGTCGGTGCCGTATAATAGATATGTCGGTGGGAAAAGTAGGAAATAAGTGAAATAAAGAGAAGGCTCTAGAAAATAGAATAGTAGGGAGATTGAGATGAGATAAAGACCAAAATAAAGAGGAGAAAAGGGAGAATAAGATAAAGGAAAAATATAATAATGAGAAATATTATAACAAGGACGTCCTCTGACACTTCCCCCCTTCAAAGTTGGGTGGTAGAAGTAACACCCTGCTTGACAAGGTAGTCCTGGAGAGGACGAGGGCGTTATCCATATCGTGTACAGGTACCCAGCTATCCTCGGAAGGATCATAGCCTTTCCAACGAATCAAGAGCTCCAAGGAGTCGTTACTGTGAGAATAACGAGGAATGAATGCAGTAACAAACAGGTGGCTACAAATAGGAAACCCGAAAAGTGTTGTACCCTATATTGTCTACCCTACTACAGCCTACACAGACTATAGCATATAAGTTTGACACACCCCCATAGGCAAAGTGGGGAGAACAAGAGGGCACAAGACCAGTCAAGAGAAGCAAGGCAAGCTCAGGGTGGATCACAACGTCACCACACAATCTGAGCACAAGCACAAGAACCCTTATGCTATAGTCTGTTTAGGCTGTAGTGGGGTAGTCAATATGGGGTACAACACTTTAGGGTTTCCTACTTGTACTCCTCATGCTGCTCAATGCAATCATTCCTTCTTCAGATTCTCACATGGTATCAGAGCAGGTTCCCCTAGTGGGAATGCTTCCTAAGGGCCCACCACTAAACTTTATTTTCTGCCCGGAGCGCGCTCCTCTCCTGCCCGAGTCGCGCCCCGTGTGCCCTCCCTCCTGTCGCGTCCTAGCCCCTAGCGGCCCGTCGCGCCCTTCTCAGGCCCCTAGTGGCCCTTTTCACGGCCCCTCGTGGCCCCTCTCACGGCCCCGTCGCCGCCCTGCTGGCCCCGTTGCCGACCCTAGCGGCCCCGTCGCCGCCCTGCTCGGCCCCTTTGCCGACCCTCGCGGCCCCGTAGCCGCCCCCGTCGCCGCCCTCTCGGCCCCGTCGCCAACCCCTGCGGCCCCGTTGCCGCCCTAAGCGGCCCCGTCGCCGCCCTAAGCGGCCCCGTCGCTGCCCTATACGGCCCCGACGCCGACCCTTACGGCCTCATCGCCGCCCTAAGTGGCCCTGTCGCCGCCCCATCGGCCCCGTCGCCGACCCCTGCGGCCCCTTCGCCGCCCTAAGCGGCCCCGTCGCCGCCCCATCGGCCCCGTCGCCGACCCTTGCGGCCTCGTCGCCGCCCTCATTGGACCCGTCACCGACCCCTGCGGCCCCGTCGCCGCCCTAAGCGGCCCCGTCGCCGCCCTAAGTGGCCCCGTTGCCGACCCTACCGGCCTCTTCGCCGCCCTACCGGCCCCGTTGCCGACCCTACCGGCCCCGTCGCCGCCCTACAAGGCCCCGTCGCCGACCCTGTCGGCCCTGTCGCAGCCCTCACCAGCCCCGTCGCCGCCGTAGAGGCCCAGTAGCCACCCTCAGCGGCCCCGTCGCCGCCCCTTCACGGCCCCGTCGCCGTCTCTACCGGCCCCCCTTTGACGCCGAGGCGCCTAGCAGCCGAG